AGATGAGTTCACTATGAATGTGCAGATTTATTTCTGGGTTCTCTCTCTTCCATTTGTCTATGTGTCTGTTTTTCTGCCAGTACCATGCTGTTTTGGTTACTGTAGTTCAATAATATAATTTGAAGTCAGGCAGTGTGATCCATCCAGTTTTGTTCTATTTGCTCAGATAGCTTTGGCTATTCTGGGTCTTTTGTGATTCTGTGTAAATTTTAAGATTATTTTTTATACTTCTGTGGAAAATATAATTGGTATTTTGATGGGAAACATCCCTTTCTTCCAAGGTTACCATTATTTACACATCAACATCCAGCTCTGCATTGTTGAGAGTATTTAATTCAAATAAGCAGCTTCTATTATTGTTCTTTTCATACCCTAAGCATTGAAAATAGTCACAAAGCTACTTGTGAAGTTATAAGATGCTCAGTTTTTAGTAGAATCAATCAGAAAACATTTGCCTAATTGAATTCACTCATCAATCCTTCTAACTTGCCTCTTCCAGTTGTTTCAGTTGATTTAGGAAAACACTTACCTCCTTTCCTTTGTCAGGTAGTATGACGGCTTCTATTTTTATTTACTTTTATCCTTGTCTAAATACCCACAACTATGTTTTCCCTTTTTCCTCTCTCTCTCTCTCTCTCTCTCAGAAATAAAACAAGCCCAGGACTGAGAAGCAAGATCTGCCCACTAGTCTTCACTCTGCTACTAAGAAGGTCATTTAACCTCTCTGTGTTTCAGACTCTTACATGTAAAATAAAGTATTTGGACTGCAGGATCACTAAATCTCTTACAACTTGTGGTATCATGATGCAGAAACATGATGCCCCTCATTATCTGTTTATTTGAAGTGGCACGTGGCCTTCCCTTGCTCCATTCAGTTGTGTGGCCCAGATATCAAGGTCTATTATAAACAATATATAACTGACCCCAAAATAAACTTCCATATGGGTGCCCTCCTCCCCCTCCTAGGCCCCTTAAATGCAGGTGCTTCATATATTTCCCTTTCATAAAACATCTCCCTTCCAAAACTCCCACATCTTTATTTCCAGCTCTGACTCCTCAACCACCTCCATCCAACATTCCAGCACCTACCAATAAGTCCACCTACTTGTCCCAGGGACACCCCAGACTTGGTGTGAATCCATCATTTCTTTCTCCCAAACTCTTTCTTCCTTCACCTTAATTTCCTATTTCCATATGTCAATTACCTGGACTTAAAGCCTTGTATTTCAATTGATCTCTCTCTCTCTCCTACACCCAAGTCACCAGTGCAGGTTCTACCATTGTAGCTCTTGGTATCTCTGACCTCCACGCTCTCTGTCCCTTCTTGTTCAGACTCTCATGGCCTTATGTATGAGTTGTGCAGTAGCCCTGCTGATTCTCCTCTTCAGATCATCCCCCTTCAATATCTTCTACACAATGGAGGCTATATTAAACTTCTTAAAACATGATTTTAACTCTACTATGTTCCTCCCCCTACTTCTCCCTATTTCAATGCATAAAGAAACTCCAAACCCCTTGTCATGTTATTCAATATCTTCTGATCTATCTTCACACAGTTATTCATAATTTCCCACTACTCCCTGTCTAGTAACTTAGATTCCAGGCTCAGTGTTCCAGATAATTTGCCAATGTTCTAGTTTTCAGGCCTTTGCTCACATCCAGCCCTTGACTGGGGGCTGTTTCTTCTCCCCACTGCCCAGTAGCACCCAATTCCGGTGCTATTTCAAAGCCTCTGCCAATGACATCAGGTAGAAGTAACCTTTCCCTGTCTCCCCTCAACCCTCATAGTACCTTACATATGCCTTAGTAATAACATGTATTTCATGTTATTCATGTAATGCAATTATTTTATGTAATATAGCCTAAGATGACTGTAGTTACTTACACAAATGACTTTCTTTCTTTATGAGAACAGAAGCTCCTCAAGGAAAATAGCTACTTCTGAATAATTTTTAAACACTACACGACTGTTAATGTCACCTTGAATATAACATTTGTGCCTAAGTACTTAAGTACTAGATGAATTAATAATTGTACAACTCAAGATCAACCCTGCCTTCTTGACAAAATCAGGCACTTTAGAATATCAGCTAACAATTAATCGATGATAGCTCCAAAATAATCACACTCTTAAATATTGTGCTTACTTTTATCAAATATGCAATTGTGGTAATATCATTGGATCATAGGTAATCACAGTAACTTTGTAGTTCCATAAGATAAATAAATTAAATTAATTTTCAAAATAATTAAGAGATAGCTTTTTACAGAATGGGAATTTGTGAATATCAGTTACTCAAATAGGTTAAGTCTGGCAGCTAAAATTCTAGGCAAATGTTCATTAGACAAAAAGCTTAGGTAACTGAACATTGAGAAGTAAGTAGCCATACAAGTTATTCAACCAATTACATTAATAACCATGATGATTCCATAGTAACCACTAATATCTGTTGTACCAGGTTACAACAGCTATCTATACAGGTGGTTCATCTTCTAGAGAAATTTTGGGAAGCAGATGGCATTTCACATCTATTTATTCTATGATAATGTGGGAAGGAATTAGCTGGCAGTGAAAACTTTTGGTACACTAGCAATAGACGTAGATATCCAACTTAATGTTGACCTATAGTTTATCCCACCATACTAAAACTAAATTATTGTCATATTATTTTTTATTAATGCTTATAGAGTCCTGTGAAATTTGACTAAAGGGTAATAACTTGCTGCTGATGGGTCTCTTATGAGGAAAAATACTCTTATCTTAAAATAAGATCATGACTATAACATTAGAAAATTACCTTCTTGCCTACCTAGACTGATATAAAAGGGGCATCGCATTACCTCTGAGTGACAAAACATTGGGATTCCTTAGCAACCCTTATATGAGCCTGATGTTGCTAAAACAATTCAGATGCCCTGCCTCTACCCACAGCTTCAATTACCTGATGACTAATCCCAAGATGAAACCAGCCCAAACTGGTGAGCAACAGGGCTGAGAAGGCATTGCTGAGTCCACAGTCCTTGTCCACCAAACCCTCTTCTCTACAGGCTATTCATGGAGAGTGTAGTTACAGCACCAGCATCCAGGGAACCAAAAATCTGTTCCCTTCTAGTGAGAGGTCCCACTTGGCCTCCAAGCCACAGTACTTCATGATGGAGAGGACAATGAGACTCTCCATCATGACTAGTTTGACCAAATTCCCAGTCAAGGAAATGAATGATACAATGAATTGGCCAAAAGTGTGAAGGCTGTCCTCAAACTGCCTGGGTTCAAATCCTGGCAAGTTACTCTCTCCTAAACTTTCATTTCTTCTTTGTGAAATGAGAATTATTATGATAGTGTCTCTTTGTTATGAGGACTAAGTAAAATTGTGCCTGTAAAATATTCACTAAAATGTTTGGCACAATAAATTTAAAATGTAACTAATATCTGTTCAATAACAACCTTTAGAACTGTAGTGGAAAATTGACTCACAGAGTTTCCTGTTACTAATAATCCAATTTCATTCAAAGAAAGGAGTGATTCTGAAGATCTTTTCTTGTTTCCTAGCTGTTAAAAAAAAAAAAAAAAAAAGACTGCTTATGAAACCGAAAAAGTGAAGTTGATGAAGGCGTGCATTTCTTTTTATACACAAAGAGAAATAATGACACAAAGTTGGAGAGCAACGTGTTGTTTTCTTTCAACAAATGTACCTGAACTTATACATCAAAAAAGAACTTTTATCTTCAAAGTAGTCACATCAGGAAGCCATGCGCTTATTTCAATAATGCTGCCAAATATTTTTGGAACTCTTTCTTCTAAATTACCTTCTCAGCCTGCTTCAAATTCTTTTGGATGTCTTTACTGGCAACAAGATTTTGTTCTTTGGGAGTTTTCAATTTTGAAAGCAGATTTAAAACCAACACTTATGAATAAGATGGAGGAGAAGGTCACCTCTGATTAAAAACGAGGAAAGAAAGACCTTTTTCCAGGGCCAGGCAAATGTCTAAAAAATTTCCAGACAGGGAATCTCTGAAACATTTCAAACCAATGAAAGGATTGTCAGAAGGAACGTGCTGTTTTCTGTGCAATTAATAAGTTATATGTTTATTTATTTAATGTGTAGAGCACTACACAGTGAGCACTGTTCCAGGAACTTTTACACGCATGTGAACTAGTTCATTTAATGCTCAAATCTTATGAGGCAGGTACTCTTAGTATTCCCATTTAACAGATAAGATCACTGAGGCAGAGAAAAGTTAAGGATCTTATCCAGGAACACAGAGCTAGTAAATGGAGGAGCCACAAATCAATCCCAAACTGTCTACTGAGTATATATGCTATATTTTCTAGAAAGTATAATCTGTGTATTAATACCTATGCTGTCTAATTTTCTCAAGGCAATGTAAAAATTTAAACATGGTAAAAGATATAATTCTTCATGAGTTTTGTTTAATTTTAGCTAAAAGCCTTCCTAGTGTTGGGAAGTATTATCTGAATTCTTTTTTCTCTATCTTCTCATTGCAAGTTATACAAGGAAGAAACAGTCCCACTTTCTAGCTTCCTCAGTTCCCTGACCATCCATAGGCTATCCTATTTTCCACGGTAAGCAGATCTTTCACCCAGAAACTTCTTCAGCCTTGTGCTGGGAACGTCTCTCTTTTCTCAATGTTTCTTCATGTCTATTTCAAAACTCCCTCCTTAAAATTCACTTTTTCCATTGCATCACTCAGTAGGTCAATCTTGCTAGACTAACAAGAAAGAAAGAAGAGGGGGGTGAGTGAGGAAAGATGCTAAACTAGTTTTAAGGCCTCTTTTCATATTGTTTCCTATAAGCAAAATGCTTGGAACATTTCCCTTCAACCTCCTTTCCTTTAAAATATGAGTTTCCAAAACAGCTTCGCACCAATGCCAAGAGCACATTGCTGGCCGGCCGTTCAGATAATGACAGCAATCCCAAGGTAACCTAGTTAAACACATTTTAAAAAAAATTAAATATGCTGGATTTCTTTTATTTCAGGATAAAAGGAAAATACAGGAAGAAATATCCCAGAGACGTCTGAAGGTAGAGGAAGAGAAATTAAAGCACCAACATTTGAAGGTAACTTATGACTTTGATTTCATTTCAAGGATTTAGTATTCAAATATCCTAATGGCACTGAGATTTGAATAGTTCAGATACTTCAGGAAAACAAAAAATCCAACATACTCCTACTAGCATTCTAACAACCATAGGGGAGGTCAAGGAGCTGAGAATATTTGTATATGAGATTAATCCCTTCTGGAAAACATGTGGAAAGTTGAAAATGTGGTTTTATTACTTTCATCCTTTATTAACTGAATTTCCTAATTTTCTTGGGTAACCTTGAGAATTCAACCTTGAGAACTTGGCCCTGTTTACAGGCTCACCCAACATCTCTAGGGAGCAGATCCAGCTAGGAAGTTCCTTTTCAAACCAATGAAAGGCCAGCCGTTCCCCGAGGGTGCAGAACAGACAGTGTCTGGCCTGGTCAAGGATGCTTGTATTTAAAAGCTCAGTGCTATGAATCCAATATTGTCTGAGCATGGTTTGGATTTTGGTTTTCTTTTGTTTTGACAGAACATGAGATCATAACCAGAAATAAACCTCCATTTTTAAAATCAGACTTTACATCTTTCACTGGGTGTGGTCATTGTGTAATTAAACATTGAGTTTCAACATTTTATTACGTAGCTTATTGACAGGATACAGGCCATGACAAACAGGAGCTCCTTGTGAGCAGGCCCAAACAGGAAACTGTACTTATCTGGCAGGGCTGCTATCAATAGATAGAATGAATCCCCTTAATGAAACAATGGTACACACTCATGGGTTCTATAAACCTCAGTTAAACTTGCCAAATTCAGCTAAATCCATTTTTCTAATGGAACTAGTAACCACTTCTCTGAAAGGAAACATAATTTAAGATTCTAATTAGCCTCAGTTCTCTGGACTTTGTTTGTTTCTTTGCTCCTGCCTAAATTGACATGTCTGATGTTTATTGGATAATTTCAAACATAGTTAGTCTGCTGTCCTTACTGTCCTTACAGTATGACACATTGAATTTACATGAGTAGTGGACATACTCAAGAAATCCCAATGTGCTCCTAGAGAATCAGTGAAACAAAAACAAATTTTACAGGGCGGTGCCTGTAGCTCAGTGGGTAGGGTGCTGGCCCCATATACAAGGGTGGCAGGTTCAAACTGCAGCAAAAAAATAGCCAGGTATTGTGGCAGATGCCTGTAGTACCAGCTATCTGGGAGTCTGAGGCAAGAGAATCACCTAAGCCCAGGAGTTGGAGGTTGCTGTGAGTTGTGATGCCACGACACTCTACCAAGGGCGATAAAATGAGATTCTGTCACTACAAAAAAAAAAAAAATTTTTTTACCACGGTGTTCAGTGTAATACAAATGAAGTCAACCATCAAATCTAGAACAATTTGGGCGGTAGCCATTTCTAACTCCCAAATCAGAGCTTACTCACTCTCTCTCTAGCTCATACACAGACAACTTACACACAATTTGAATCTCACAGTGAACTCTCTAGCATTCAGTAATTTTTATCCTTGAAGAATGGGTAGCCAAAAAACAGTAGAGTTCACAGTAAAAGGTTTAAATATCTGTTCAGTTCATCTTACAAAGTAAGTTTCACATAGGAAAGGTATGATTCACTCCAGGTCCTCTACTGAGGTGGCACTTCATTTTGGTACTTGCCAAAAACCATTCAGAAAGTAACACACAATCTTCTCCATTGGTTTGCTTTCTGGAACCCAGGAGGCCTCTTCTATAATCTCATCCAACCAAAACATGTATCATCTTTGGACTCCTGTACACAATTGTGTAGATTGTGTGCTGTTCAAAGGCACCTGAAATGAGAGTGCTGAAATTCTGCCCACATTCCCGTGTACTCTGCCCCAGGCCTCCTTATAACGGGAGCAAGAGGGTTTCATTTTGTCTGCACAAAGGTGCAATCCAAGCTGTGCACTGACCCTACGTGGTGTGTGGTGTGGAGGGGAAGAGAAGGAAATGACACCTTTCTTACCTTGGGAAATTCATTATTAAATAAGACAAGTTAAATGATAGAGGTTTTTTTCATTTACATTAGAGCATAAGCATTAATTCTTTGATCTGAGGTGGTCCAAGAAGGGTCAATGAGAGGTGAGGAGTTTAAGCTTAGTGTTAGCTGACAGGTGGAATTTATGCAGATGTACCTAAGGCCTTTCAGTCAACGTGTTTTAGGCACCTATCACGTAGGATGTGAAGAATATAAAAGAAATAAAACTTAGCCGGTGCCCTTAAAAGGATAACTGGCACATAAACTCGGAAGGACTCCTATTCTGTGATGAGCTCTATCTGGGAGGCACAAACTGCAAAGGAACGTAGGTGGAAAGTGGCTGTTTCCGTAAAGAACATTCTTCCATGTTTTCAGAAAATAGGTGGCTGTATCAAAGAGAAAGTAGGCATAATTCCAAAATGGGGTTCACACACATGCAAAAGTATTTTACAAATCAATCTATAGTATGTTCGCCAGGTCAAGAGAGCACCACTGGCCTCTATGCTTTACCAGCCTGTCTCTTATTTTCTCCTCCATTTGTCCTGGGTCCCATGACTGTCCTCACCACCCTCCTGATTGCAAACATTCTCACTAGACTTCACTGACACTTGTTAAACAACAGAAGTATAAACATTCACAAAGCACTGCTCCCATATCAGTGTACACACACATTTCAAAACAATAATTCACTGACATTCTTTAGCTCCTGAGCCTGGCAATCATACCCATGATGTGCCAGCAAGGGGAACTTCTGGGGATACTATTAACATTCTCATATTCAAATTATAAATATTATGGATCTTCTTGCCTAGTAAGACGATCACAATCTCATGCCACCTACATTCAATCTAGCTAATTTTTCTTTTCTATGGGTCTATCCAACTCACGGTATGAAAAACTAATTTATTCCCAAACTCTACTATGCCTGCTTGATAATATAGAAGTGCTTCAGGAAAACCTTTCCTAAAAAAAAAAAAAAAAAAAGGAAATCTGCCCAAAAGATCTTAGGCTTTTGATTCGAAATTTCATCATGAAATAGGTTTTATTATATTCATTAGTTTCATATAGTAAAGCATTCAGTCTAAACTGGGAGAAAAAAGCAAAATAAGTGCTTTGATTACAATAATATGTGATCACATCTGATCATTTTGACTGCACATCCAAATTGTATATTTTATATTTAAGTTTGAAGCATTCTCTACCAGGGGTGTAGGGCAGTTTGTGAACAAAATTTTAGAAGACTAAAGTTAAAATTGTTCTTATTCCTAGCCTGATGAAAACCAAGAAGGTAGCCCCAAGTTAACCTAATCATGCCACAACAATCATTCTCTGTCCTCTGTAAGCCAGCATGATAAGACGTCCCGTCTGAGTGTTTGTTATAGAGATATTTATGCAGGTCACAGGAGTTACCTGTAGAGGTGGTTTGTAATTACTATCACTTACTTTGCTAGGTGTCATCTGTTGTCTTTACTATGCATTAGCTATCTACATATCCCATCAAATTGCAATAAGTTAAAATCAAGGTAAATTCATAAAATGCAGATATAGTCAGATATTTTTAGCATCTTTAACCTTGGAACTAAATCTCAACCTATAGTAATGACGTTTACTGGGTACGTGAGAAAACATTTTTACAAACAGCTACACAGTTATAATAAATGGTCAAGATAACACGGGGGTAAAAATCTCTGGCCCTGGAGTAGAGTAATACCAACTGCTGTCATGGGATGTGTTGTCCCCCTGCAGTCATAGACAGAACTGTAAAACTATAAGAACTGTAAGAAGATCAACACAAATACGATGATGGAGGGTTAAGTTGTTACTTAATCTAGTGGTCCTCAAACCATGGTCATGCATCCATAAGGTTCCAGGCCCCCTCACTGCTTCAACTAAGCAATCCAAATTTCGGCTGTTGCCCAAACTATAATTCTATATCATATTTATTTGTAGTCAGTGTGCTATTAATTCTTTTTTTAAAATTCTTTGAAAGCCATTGCCTTAGTTAAAATAACAGCATGCTGGTAATTAAATAGCACCAACCAAGGTTAATTAAAAATATTTTTAATTCAGAAATATTTATATCCCAGGGGTATTAATTTTAGCATCTTTTTTAAAAAAGACACAAGATTCTTTCTTGCTCTCATCTTAACTGTAATATAAGAGAAAGAAGTCCCAGAAAATAAAGAAAAATTTCCATTCTCTCCTCGCTATTTTAGATGTAGTGAATTCCCAATGAATAATTAATGATGAATAATGGAACAAATACTTTATAGAGACCGATTAAATACAAGATGGCAGCCTTTTTCTTCCAGACAAAAGGGAAAAACAAACTCCTTGAAAATGATATGACCACGTATCTGACCATTTCTACTTGAGACATGGACTAGATGCAAAAATAAAGCCACTCCAAAATTTATAGGTCTTTTTCACTTGTTTTAAGTCCTCTTTGGCTCAAGTTCAAGAGTTTATTTTTTTTCATGCAAATTAAAGAGGATTTTTTAAGTGATAAAAGGTACAAATTGTTTGTGTTCTTAGAGAGGCAGAAATTCAACTCAGTGTTTAGAAAGATCAATGAAACTAATGTATCATGTTTTAGTGGAACAGATAGGGAGATAAACTTAAGGATAAAGATGTCTATAATGAGAAAATAAGAAATACTCGGTGGGCAAAACAATAAATATCTACCACCCTACCTAAGGCTAATGTTGAATTAATTTAAGGTATCATAGCACCTTCTGTTTTGCCCACCATTCCAATTAACCCTACAAAAGATTTTTTGGGAGCAGTTATTGCATGCCATTACCAGGGTAAATATCAAGCTGATTGGGGGGAGCTTTTGACTTTGTTAAGGATACAAGATATACATCCATCAACCAAACAAATAACAGTAAAGACATCACATAATGAGGTCCCTGTATAACTGCAATAAACATCCAGTACATCATGACTCTGAAGAAAGGGAGTTGTCTGAGGGTGTGGATGGGGCTTCCAGAAGTCTAGGGGAGGCAAGGATCTTTATAGATAAAGAGGGGCCTGAATCAGACCTTGAAGAATAAACAGGATTTAGATAAGTAAAAACTGACTTTGGAAAAGGGTCAAGAAGGTTGCCATGAAGACTATAAAATGCCAGATCTGTTCAGGCAAGGCACTGAGAGAAAATAATTCTTCTTTAGTATGTCTACTACTGGAATTCATAAGATTTGGAAGCAGTAAGAGATTTTGGAGGTTGTTGACTGATATCTTCATATTCCTTTGCTGACATCAGAAAAAGGCCTTGAGGGAGAAATGGCTTCTAGATGGAATCAGCAGTGGAAAAGAACAAGAAGAGATGAAGAAGCAAAATCAACAAGACCAGCACCAGATTCAGGTTCTCGAACAAAGTATCCTCAGGTACGGCCCTCACTCATACTTCACAGCTACCTTTATTTTGACTTTGTCTCATATTGTATATAGAAGAGCCATTCTTAGCATCAAGGGCACAATCAGACCTTCCATTAGGATTTCTTAAAAAGACTAAGGAATTAAGGCAACAATAGAAATTTTACAATAAACATCATTTGAGCATAGCAAATAAATAGATTTATTTTTATGATACATGTAGGTGACTTATCAATTTCCAACAAAAATGTAGCTTATTTCCTATAAAATGGTAGTAATTATATCCATCTTTTTTAGTGTTGTTGAGAAGATTAAAAAAATATATGTACTAAACTACCAGGACCTACCTGGCACATGGTAGGTGCATAAAAAGCAGTCCCTCTTCATAGCCCCAGCCCCCACTCTGAGGACAGGTGATGAGTCCACAGGTATGTTTATACTGTCCCTCCATCACACCTGTCCCAGTCCCTCCCAGCCACAATCGTATTTTGGAAGAGAAGATTCTATATTGATTCTCCACTCATGTTTTCCCTCCTCTGCTTCCATGATGAATTTATTATATACATTAAATAGGTGGAGGCTGAACCCTTACATTATGGTTCTTGCTGGGCTTGTATTTTCTAATAAACTATCTAAACTATCTAACTAAACTTACCTAACTTCTTTAACACAGGTGCAGAGTCAGGAAACTTCTGATATAACAAATTACATACTTAAATTACCTTGACTAAGCCAGGTGTGGTGGTTCAGGCCTGTAATCCTAGGACTTTGGGAGGCCAAGACAGGAGGATCACGAGCACAGGACTTATAGACCAACCTGAACAACATAATAAGATCCTGTCCCTACAGAAATTTTTTTGGGGGGCTGGATGGGTGGAGGGAGGGAGATTGGTGGGTTCACCTCTATGGTTTATCTTACAAGGGTACAAATGAATCTTTCTAAAAGAAGAGTATGAATGTCTTAACTCAATAACTAAGAAAATTACATGAAGGCTACGTTAACCAGTTTGATGAGAATATTTCAAATTGTATATGAAAACACCACACTGTACGCCGTGATTGCATTAATGTATGCAGCTATGATTTAATAAAAAAAAAAGAAATTTTTTTTAATTAGCGGGACATCTTTGCGCATGCTTGTAGCTACTAGAGAGGCACAAGGATCACAGGATCCCAGGAGCTTGAGGTTGCAGTGAGTTACGATGATACCACTGCACTCCAGCCTGGGCAATAGAGTAAGGACCTGTCTCAAATAATTAGAATAAAATTAAATTAAATATTAAATTAGTTTGTCTTCAAATGAGAGTATGGATGTGAAAAAAACTGAAAAACTCAAATAAAAAATGAGATTATTAGTATCATCACAAAAAAAAATCAGCATGAAAAAATGCATGGGAAAGGTCAGACTGATTCTCTAACCTATGCATGGAAAGAAGATGGAATTTCTTGTTGTATAATCATGACAATGAACTAAAGTCCTCCCATCTCTGAAGTATAGGCAAGTTTCAAAGCCTCACTCACTTTATCTTGTTATCGTTCATGAGGACTATGGGAAAGACCTGGGTGACAAAAGTATTCAGTAGCTATGCAACAATCACACTTCATCCATACTCACCACACTATACAAACACATAACTTTAGGCTTAAAGTCCACAATCTGAAAAAGGCTTTCTTTTTTCAAATGATTTCCATTTTACTTTCCTAATTGCACATGCACTCAGTAGCTAAAATCACTGACCGCTCGTTCTTATCTAAATGTCTTTGAAAATAACAATCCTTAAAAGGTTATGTAATTGCAAGTTTTATACTTATAAATCTCTCAGTTGTTTACTCAAAGAAATGAAGTGCTTCCCAATGGTAAATTATAAACACTTTAAGAATAACCCAATAAATCAGCTCCACAGTTTGGAAAACTCCTCCATGATTCTTCGTGAGGCATCCCTTTGTAAGACCATCTCAGCCCGAGTCCGGCTTAAGCAGGTGATTACTCCCTTCATTCCTCAACACCGTACCCTTAGCTCTGAATTAGTCCTGAATTTAATCCCTGTAAACTTTTCCCATTGCACAGACACATACTTGCTTCCCCTCAAAACCTTCTTTTAGAGTCTTTTCACATACCAAACATCTATAACTTTTTCTGCACCTAACGATAATTGAAATGGCTACATGCTCTCAAATTCCATTAACAGGTTTGGGCAATATTCTGCGTAATCCCAGAGTATTTACTAGAACTGCACTGATTGCTTTCAGACCTTGCCTGGATGCCCTGAGAAGCACATAAGCTTCTACAAGTGTTGACAATGGCTTATCTGATTAGAGCTCCTATGTGCCCCCAAAATATTAAATGAGAAGGAGATATTTAATAAGACTTATTATGCACTAGGCATTTTTATTTTTTGAGACAGAGTTTCACTTGCCCTCAGTAGAGTGCTGTGGCATCATAGCTCATAGCAACCTAAAACTCCTGGGCTTGAGCGGATCCTGTTGCCTCAGCCTCCCAACTAGCTGGGACCAAAGCAGGAGCCACTACACCAGGCTAGTTTTTCTATTTTTAATAGAGATGAGGTATCGCTCTTGCTAGTCTTAGACTCCTGGGCCCAAGCAATCCACCTGCCTCAGCCTCCCAGTGCTGGGATTACAGGAGTAAGCCACCATGCCAGGCCCACCAAGCATTTTATATATATACTGGCCCATTTAATCTTCATAATTCTGTGGGGGTAGGTATTATTATTTTCACTTTTTGTAGAGAATTAAGGAATTCACACAATAGGTATTGGCAGATCAGAGACCGACTCATTTGACTGCCCTACACTGCCTGTACAATGATAGCACGCATGGCCTCTGTGGACTGAGTAGGTATTACCTCTTATAGAAGTCTGGTGTTCTGTCACTGTTCTCTTTTCTCCAAAAAGTTCTGCCACTCTCAGGATCATCTTCCACGTCCCTCTATTTTCTCTGATAAATTACCAACTACATGTCTGTTCAATAGCAAATTCTGGCCTCTCATTACAACTTTATTTTAGATCTTCAGGATGCTATTAACCCATGAGTACCAAGTAAGTTTAGTCTCGGTTCCCTTTTAAAAGGCCTGGCACAATTCACAAAGCGCTTGCACCTAACATTAGATCATTTAGTGTCACAGTCTAGAAAGGAAGCATCAATACCACCAATTCATAGATGAGGACTTAGGCACAGAGAGGAGAGGGACTTGATTGAGGTCCCAGAAGCCCATGAGAGGCAGACTTGGGTCTCAAAGCAAGCCAGGTTCAGTTCTCTCTAGCTGAAAAATGAAAAGACAGCTATAGACGTAATGTTCTGGAAACAGTAAAACACCTAACCAGACAAGTATCTCTAATAATCAGGAAACTGCTCTTTTTAAGGAACTTTTCTTAAAAGATGTATCTGCAAAGATTAGTCAAGAATTTGCATTCTTGTGGCCCACGGAGGCAGGTTTATTGAGTTAAAAATGTGTAAGGAACAGAATGTTGTGTAGGCACATACTTAAGACAAAAAGTATCTGCGCCCATCTGTATTTTAGCAGCCCCCACTACAGCCCAGCCTTTCAGGAATCGCCAAAGCAGCTGTACTTGACAAAGAAATATTTTCTTCTCAGGTGTTTGTAAAGCTGCTAAATAATCAGGTGCGTGTTTTAAAATTCAATCTTTTTCCTAAACAACTGCCCACAGTGCTTAAGAAGCTTTTATTACTGGTTAAATCAATACAATTTCCCATTATTAATAGCTCAGAATAGCAGTCAGACCCACCGATGAAGCTGAACTAGGCAGAGCCACTCCTGTTCCCTAAGCAGGGAAAGTTCTCAAACCCTGAATGTGATTTATTAAAGTGCCTGCTTGAGGGTGGCACTTGCCATTCTGTCTGACCATCAAAATAAAGATATGCTATTACCTCAGAGTCCATAACAAGGCCAGACTTTGCCTGTGAAATTTTCATTACTTCCACTTCCAAGGTGTTGTGAGAACTGAAAGAGCATAGCCTCCAGCCTTCATAATGCTTGTTCTGCTGATCACAGTACATGAGGTTGGCATGTTCTTTCATCTGTTTGAGCCTCGGTTTCCTTGTCTGTAAGAGAGGAATGATTAAAGCCACTGGGTAATCTTCTTTGTAGAGGTAATTTCGTAATTTTCTTCACCTCTTTTGTTATGTATATTCCTAGGTATTTCTTTTTTTTGAAGCTACTGTGAAGAGAACTGTGTCCTTGATTAGCTTCTCATTTTGGTTGTTATTGGTATATACAAAGGCTACTGATTTGTGGACATTGATTTTATAGCCTAAGACATTGCTGTATTTTCTGATTACTTGGAGGAGTCTTGTGGTTGAGTCCTTGGGGTTCTCTTAGTAAAAGATCATATCATCAACAAAGAGAGAGTTATTAAATAGGGATTCTTTTCCCCAGTGTATGTTCTTGTTTGGTTTATCAAAGATCAGGTGGTTGTAAGATGTTAGTTTCATCTCATGGTTTTCTATTCAGTTCCAAATGTCAATATCTCTATTTTGGGGCCAATACCATGCTTTATTGATCACTATGGCTTTGTAATATAGCCAAAATTCTGGTAGAGTGATACCCCTGGTTTTGTTTTTATTATTTAGATTTGCCTTGGCTATACAGAGTTTCTTCTGGATCCATACAAAACAAAGAATTATTTTTCCAAATGTTGAAAGTATGATAATGGTATTTTCATGGGGATTGCATTGAATCTGCAGACTGCTTATAGACATTTTCACAATGCTGATTCTTACCACCCATGAGCATGGTATGTTCTTCCATTTGTTAACATCTTCTGCTATTTCTTTTCTTAGGGTTTCATAATTTTCTTTGTAGAGATCCTCCACCTCTTTTGTTATGTATATTTCTAGGACTTTCTTTTTTTTTTTTAAGCTACTGTCAAGGGAACTGTGTCCTTGATTACCTTCTCATTTTGGCTGTTATTGGCATATGCCAGCAGTTCTCAACCTGTGGGTCGCAACCCCTTTGTAACAATGAAAATACATCG